CTATTCCAGTTCAAAGCTGGACTGGAAGAGGCCTTTGGAAGGAGCTTGATATCTAAAGCATTGCTAATATAGCCTGATCTGCGGTTAGGGTTCATTACCACAGCTTTGCTCTACTGACTCAGCTTCACTTCAGAGCATTTATTTTTTAAGAAACTCTTCCATTTTATTCTGTTTTCAGCAGTCTGGAGTCACCAGAACATGGTTTTTATTTAATTATTACTGCCTCTCACTTAAAATCCTTTTCCTCAAAACTGAGGAAATTGGGTGTAGTGGAACTTTGCAGACACGTCTACTTCCATCAGGAGCCTGCATGCTTCTCTCAGAAAGGTCTAACAGCTTGGAAATTCAAGGTAGGACCTATGTGAAACTTTAACATGAAACAGGCTGTTGTACTCTACACAGTCAGCCTTTTCTGAAAGCCACTAGTATCCACAACTAATAAGGCAAGGATGCAAAAACTCTGTATAAAATTTAGTATCTGGCACTTGGAATACTGGGAAAAGGTAATGTGAGGCAAAGGTACTAAAATTTCTGCTCCTCAGAGCACTGACAGCACAGCAAATAAATGGGGAGGAACTGAAGAGTTTTAACAGTCATTACTACAAGATGATTCTATCCCTACATCCCTTTATTGAAAATACATATTTACTATATACCTGATTCTTACAGGCAACCTTCAGGATATACATATCCACAAAGGAACATACACTTTATTGAAAAGCATGTGTTTTATGGCTGCCACCAGCATTATCTAACACTTCAGTACATACCACACTCCATTAAAAAAATATTTATGTATTTTAGTTTATATTTCTCTTCACAGTCTTATACAGACTTCATCCACCACAGAAACATAACCAACCATGGCATGAAATGAAGCAACTGTTTAACAGCTTTTGGCAGATATACAGAAAGGTTTAATGAGAAGACTGGCCCAGGTAGCCAAAGCTAAGATGAATTAAATAGTGAGAATACTATTACCCAAGCTGCAAATTTGACCAGGATATTGAATTAACCTGTTATCCAAACTGCCATGATTCTTTTAGCCTGGTTTAATAAATAAAAAAGCAACCAAACCCTATGTCAATGTCTAAACCATCCATCTCCCATTCATTTTCCCTACCTCCTTCAATAGCTTTTGAGTTTCTTGGCCAATTTCGACGTAATTCAACAAACAAGCAGATGCTTCAAATACTACATACCTGCAAACTGTCTGAAAATGAGATAACAGAGAAAATAAGAACCCCCATTTATGTCTTTACCGAGGGATTGCAATGGGCATGAAGACCTTATAAAATATCAGAAAACTGATGTGAGAAAAAGACCTTGTAAATGTCTCTGTTACAAAAAACCTTCAGTCGCTGCTTGTTAAACATGTAAGACAATCAACTCTGAGAAATAAGTCCACAGGAAATCCAGCTTACTTAATTCCAAGTCATGAAAATAATTAAAAACAGTAAGAGGTTAGGACCTGGGATTTGTATTTCATGTAGAAGGCATTACTTTCCACAGGAAGGAAAAAAATCTCATGAGGCTATTCAAGCAAGAAGATCTTTGTACACATAACTTTATCTGCTTTATGATTATGAATAAAACTCAAAATATAACATGCTTTAAACCACTGAGTTTTCAACCAGGAAAGAGCTGCATGCTGTTAGCAAAAGTATGAAGGTTTGGAAAAGAGATTTTAAGTGGTTCCCTCTAATGCTGGGCTTAATTTAGACTCTTTTATTTTTAATTTAACCCCATGCACTTGTTGCTATCCTTTGGTGGTATTCTAGGAGCATTTTTTCTTCATTACATAGTAGAAGGGAGGGGTGTATCTAACAGAACATTTGTTTAGAAGATAAACAGAAATCCATCTCAGCCAAAGTGGCATCATTTGTGACTATCACAAACAAAACTTCCAAAATCTTAACTCATGGCAAAGTTCCAGAACTTTATGGTACCAAGTTCCTATAGTTCACTGAAATGGACCACTCACTTGGAAGTGGTTGTGCAGACCAAAATTAATCTCCCCAAACACAGACAAGATCAGCCACACTTACATAGTCACCCTCCTAGAAAATGGAGATAAGACAGACACTTCTAGGACATGAGTCACGTCCTCCTCAAGTAAGAGGAGATTTTAGACAGATTCAGTAAAAACACCCATACCTCAGTAAAAGAAGCCTAGCTGACTGGTGTTGATGCACTAAAATCACATTCCTACACTTGGGCAATATCCTGTTTTAGGAACTTCTGTGCTCAATCAGATTCGGGATTAAGTACGCAGTGCAAGCAACTGTTGATGGCAAGACACCAAGTATTATCCAATAAATCATTTGATAATGAGTCAGTAATCCACTGATAACTAGTTGGTAATTTTCTTTCAGTAAGAGAAATTATCCACAAGAAAATGTATTTGACTTCAAAGAGATTACAAACTTGCAAAACAAGTTCTGTACACAGATAATTACATGCCCTATATTAATTTAAGTATGTTTCACAGAAGTTAGAAATAATTTTGGTAACAATTTCTCAGGTGGGAGGTTTTTATCACACAATCGAGCAAAGAAGTGTTCAGCAGAACCATGGATCCATTCTTGACAAAATTTAACTTTTGGTATGTGATAAATAAACTGAGAGAAATCTACAGCTACAAGCGTCAGAGGTTTACTACTGCAAATCAGATATTTATGTAAGTACAGTAACATGATACTGTAAAAGATTTAGAAGTTACTAAACTCAAAATTTCTAATTAAGCTTCTTAGTATTACAGAAGTGCAGGTTTAAAGTATGTAACTTTTAATTGCAAAAACAAGTATAAATAAACTATCTGAATCAAAAATAATAACTGTAGCTAAAAATTAACACATAATTTAGGCCCTAAAATAAATCACATAAGCATCAAAATGATCCTTAAATAAGGACAAAATCAGTCTGAAATGTTGCACAGAAACTTAGAAAGGGGAGAAGCTCACTACAACCATGTAACAAGTAAAGAACCAACAAAAACCCTCCTTTTTTAACATTCTAATGTTTTAATACAGATATACAAATAATTTTTAAAAAATGTTACTTACCTTGGAGATTTGAAACAATGTGGACTTGTGAAAAAACTACAACCGGTCTCTTTCCAAGAGAGAATTGTCTAACTTTTCCACTACTTTCAGATGTGGAGTGGAAGATATTTTAGGTCTGGCCAAATATCACTGGAAGAAAATTCGTTCACATGTTTGGCTACGTTTTGCATTCCATCCTGTTGCTCTGGCACACAGACACAGCTAATTATAATCTGTGACATAAGCGGTTAATTCTCCTGCTGAAACAGTTGTGTACTGACTCCAGAAATGAACTTATGGTAAGACATAACCAACCTATAATGTACAGTGAAATCTCTCAACCTGTAACGTAATGCCAACTTTATTAAAATCTGAGAATGTGAGCACTCCATAGAACCTGCACGTAAAAACCATTATCAGAGCCGGCTGCTAGCAGCACTAAATGCAAAATTAGAAACAAAAAAGACTTCTGCTTTCTTTTATGAAACTGTATGTAACATCCCAACTGAATTTTAAGAGTTCATTTTCCGAAAACTTTTCATTTTAAGGTTGACATTATTCTAGCTATAATATATACTGTCTGGCATATAAAAAGTCTCTTTAAAAAAGGAAATACAGGTATTGTAATATAGCTATAATCGCACATATAAATTTTATACAAGAACCATACTAACAATTACCAATCTTTTCAAGAAGCTAAGCCTATCTTGGTATCTAAAACACAGATGCATATATATGCATAGACACACACATAAATACTAGGAGCTATATAAAAAAAAGTTGCTTATATTACATGTTTTCAGATTTCAGACATTATAGGAGTTACAAGTCCTTTTTTTCTTTTTTTTTTCTTTTTTTTTTTTTTTTTCCCAGTATCATTAAAGCTTTGAGCTCTTAAATGCAGAAAAAGAATTCCAGTCTGGCACTGCTTACATTACACTACGTACACAAACACTGACCAGCAGACTTCTTGTCCAACCTCAGATATGTTAGAATCTGTGCCAGTAGCTTTCCACAATTTAAAAAGCATTAAAATATACATATGTAAGATTTACAGAATAAAAGGTTTGTGCTATGAGAAGCATTGCAATCCTCACCCACGTTCGGACAGTCTCACTTCTCAAAGCACTACGTTTTCTTTTTCTCAGCCTTGTGCTCACACTGTCAACATGCTTTAGAAGACAAAGCTCCTATCACACATTTAACAGCTGCAGATCATAAATTTAGGACTGACACAAATCCAGCTGATCACAGGCTTACAAGAAACTTTTTTTCCCTTCATGAGTTCTGTGGCCATAAATCCTTTATCAGACTCTGTGTACATATACAAATGGTGTTCTTTTCTCTGCAAAGAAATTAATTCATTGGTATCTGCCAAAAATGACAAATATTTCCAATAAAAATATTTATCAATATTTTTAAAACAGATTTTGTATTTAATCTCAGTTATGAAAGAAAGTGTGAGGAAGGCATTTGTATGTTGTGTTAATGCCAAAGATTTTCTTTAATTGAAATTCCTTTTAAGTAGTAGAGGAAGAAACCTATAAATGATGCAAGAGTTTTGAAAGGTTCATTATTTAGGTAATTGGGTATTCATGTCTAGGGATTTTCTGCAAAATCTTTTGCCCATTCTTGGAGAAAAACAGAGGATCAGATAAAAGTGAGTACATGACCATCAAAACCCCAATGCTTTTAACTGCATTTATAGCATGTTTTCTTTTGACATATTTGTAATTATTTGATTTCTAAACATATAAAAAAGATTGACTAACATAGTGTCTAGCTATTGAAAGATTAGATCCTATTGCCCAGTAGCTCTCTTTATGACAGAACTTTGTGCTATTTTCCATATGCGATTTCTCTTCATTAGTCTATATGTCTCCCTTGTCCTGCTCTTCCACATAACTAATTTCTGCAAAGTTAAAACTTGAAAAAATGAAAAGAACAAATAAATACCTCAGTTAGTAACTTCTGAAGTTCTCATGAAGTAGGACTGAAGCAAGAGCAACTGTCAGTGAGTTCTGTACCATCTGAAGGCAGCTGTCCTCCTATTTAAATGCACAAAAGGGAAAGAGAAAGCAAAATTTTGCTTGAGTATAGAGAAAAAAGAAGATATATTCATGAGCTGCCCTCCTCACTAGTTCAACTGACAACATGTTACAAGTGATAGGGCAAAATTCACTCAGCTTACAATGTGACACAAACAAATGAAACGCTGCACACCCAAGAGCTGTTTGGACTGCAAATGTTCATGACAGTAGAGTAAATGCAAAATAAACATTATTCAAAAATATATGTGCAAAATAATAAAAACTATTTTTGTTGCAATTATAAGATTGGAATCCATTAGTATAATGAACAACAAATTCAGTTCTGGGGTTACATTGCATCTGTACATATGCAAACCTTTCTCCTCCTCCCCCCTATTTTTCTGCACAGCTCAAGAATGCTGATATCCCATTCCTCACCCCAAAACTGAAAACTTCCTTTTCAATTGGATTTTGAAAGTCAGTGGCTGATGACTTAGTCCTGGAAACGTAACTAACACATTTATCTTCCACATTGTCAGAGTCCACCCATACCAGCACCTGACTAACTAGAAGCACTTGCAAACTCATCTCAGGAAAACAACCATACAGAAATGATGGTCTCAATATTCTGCTACTTTAACTGATTCTACGTTTTTTCCCTCTTTTGTTTTTTTGGGGGTTTTTTGGTTTTTTTTTAACAAATGTTTGATGTATGCCTGTAAGATTTCAAGAACATCTGCTTATTTCTCAAAGTACAAAACAACACAGTGGTGGAGAAGACACTATCAGGTATCAGTTTAAGTAATTCATCCAACTAGAAAGGACATAGAAGACATTTGGTCCTGTCAGGTATTTTTCAAGTCTGTGAGATGTTTAAAGACTGTGATAAGCAGTGGAAAGCAAAGGGTATTTAAGTGGTGATAAGGATTTGGTAAACAAAGGGTATTCAGGAAACAAGACTATTCTAGCCTGTATAGGAAATGGAATTTATCTGAAATACTGTGATTATGTGGAAAACACTAAAAATAACTAAAATTAGGTTGTACAGATGTGTAACTCCTGATGATAGCAGAGATCTTTTTCAATCTAAAAGATTCTATGAAACAGGAGTTTTGAGATATGAAATATTAAAAGATACTTTGGGAAAGTATCTTTTCAGAAAGGTCAAGTAGTATAGCAAAAGAAAATTTAAAGATAAAATGGCAGAAACCTTGGGGAAAAAAGTATGAATGTAAAACCAAAAATTAACCAAATTCTAAAACAACTGAAGTGGGGGATAACTGTAATAATGGCCAGAAAATATTAAAAAGTAATTACTTTCCAGAAATCTCTGGACTACCAACAACAGAGGAGAAATGCCCAAGTATTCTCTATTCCTGTTCTTGGGCATTTTAGTTACTGATGAGCTTGAATACTGATGCCACAGAAAAAGCACTTTTTCAAAAATGATGTTTTCCTGTTCTCCTGACTTCCCACTATGTTAGAGACTCCACTGTAATACCAAGCAAGAAGTGTTGGAAATAATTTTTCTAGTGTTTCCCTCCAAAGCATTTTGAATTGGCTATGTTTAATGTGCTTTTTAAATTTTTAAGGGATAAGGCAGCTGTTCATTTACTGATAGATTGAGACCTTGCCTCCTCCTAAGGACAGGGCTATGGTGAATGTTTAAAATGAGATGCAATCTTCTAAACCTGAGCAAAAGAGTGAGCTAAAGGACCCTTATATTTTTCCCATATAAACAAAGAGAAACACTTGGAAGTTATTCTTACATCAATTAGATCTACAAAAATGCAATTGTTTTAAGGAATTCCAAAGTGGAAAATACTCCAAAAGGAACCTCTTAGAATATAAATACACAAGTCAAAAATATAAGGCTTTAAGGGAGATCGGCTTAGACTATTCCATTACATGATATCTATAAGAAGGCTCAACACAGCTTTGAAACATGGAATATCTATGTTTCATTAGAGAATGAACAACAATAAACTAAAAGAGAAAAATCTGAAAAGTAGTATGCAAGACAATACAAAAATTAAAGAACCTGAAAATATCCAAAACTGCCTCATGTGTCAGTGCACGGCAGGTCTGGTTTCTAGGAAGTTTTTTTTCATCGGTGAGCACAAACAGCTGGCTGTGGGTCTATTGCCTGATCACCCCAGCAGTGCTTCAATCGCTGCTTCAGCTATTAGGTTTCTGTTCCTTGCTGCCACACAGCTTTTCTCTATCCCATTCTTTTATGCGTTCTGCCACCTTTCCTCCCCAGTACACTCAGTGGGTCCAGAAGAAGAATCTTTTTTGGTTATTGTTCACCAGCTCTAGTCCATTTCTTTTCAAATTCACATAGACACAAAATTAATTTATACATAACTCTTTCAAACTGTCACAGAGGGCTAGATAATGTTTTTTTTGGGGAAGGATGTGTTAAGTGGTATCTTCTACTTGGATTGCATCTTCACACACTCAGATTAAAAAAGATTTCATTTCTGTGAGTATAATTCTGCATGAACCTTTAAAGAGCTTACTTAGTGAAGCAACAAGTTCATGTGTACTCTGTGCTCACCACTGTACTATGTGCAAAGATGAGCCTGACAGCTGCCCTGGAATATAGGTAAGTAGGGATAAATTTATCTTTTAAGAGCAAACAAGAAAGCACACATTTGTAGACCCTTCCAAAGAGCCAGCTGAAGATATTAATTTGGAGTCTACAGCTTATGCAGACTGGAGGACACAATGGAGCGACCTTGCTGTAGCACTACCTTAAAAGCAGAAAAAGTTGCCTAAGTATCAAGGAGGAAAATCCCCACCCAACACTAAATGTCCAAGCAGATTTGTAGTGATTTTGTCCTGGTGAGTTTTTGGTATAATTCAAGTATTCTCCTAAGCATGAAGTGCAAATACTGTTAGCTTGAGGAAGTTAATTGTTAGCTTTTTCTCAGGAAGGAAACCAGAAATGTTTTTTCTTTGGTATACTTACCAAAGCATACAGAAACATATACTTTGGTTCATATGAAACTCACAAATAATCTGCACAGGAGGGTGGAGCAAAGCACTTTTTAATAGGTGTGCTATTTTGTGCACTGGGCTTTTTATTTTAGGGTATGATTCATTGTGCACCTACTCACAGCACCATCAGCAAGCACTCTGTGACAGACAGAATAGTGTATTTACAATTCTGTTCCATACAGTATGTCAAATCACTTCTACAACAGATGTCAACAGCACTGACAAGCAACAGAGAACCCCATTTCATGTTCTCTGGTCACAACATTTCCTCTTACATCACCTGGTCTTTACTAAAAACAAAACCAAAACCCCAAATGCTCTAAAAGTCCAGAGCAGGATGGTCTAGTCTGCCTTGGGATATCTGAATTCTGAGGCATTCAAGTGAAGCACATGGCTGTCACTCAGTACAGCTGGCTGGATGAAACAGAAAATGGAATGAGTGTCCCTCCATGGTAGATCAAGTTTGTTAGGTCTTTCAAGCCCTGCCTCTGTATCCATATTCTCATATCACATAGTGGCTTGTACAGATACAAACTCTAAAGAATAGAATGACATTAACACTCTCTTTTGCTTTCTTCCTATTTCTTTTATCTGTAATTTTTCTTGCTTCCTTCCCTACTCACTGACAGAGCAGAAGTACTGGTAATCAAGAGATATAAAAGTCTGCCATTTTATAATTAAATGTTATATTTCAGTAACATAGCACATTTTTAACTCTGAGAAAGCAAGCTTTTATCTAATTTGCATTTGAAACAAAAGCATATAAAGGACATAAAACTTCGTTTAAATACAGTTATTCAGTGTCTACTTATTAGAATAGTATTCTCATTCAGTACTGCTATGCATCTTCCCAGAAAGAAAAAAAAAAGAAAGTTAAGGCACACAAGAAAAATTACTCCAGTTTCAAAAGATTTAGAAGAAGAGAAGTGAAACCATGGAAATTACAGTGCTCTGGCCAGAACCCTATAATAGGAATCATTGTCCCAGAACTCGTGCCCTGACAGACTCAATGCTCAGAATTTAGTGGATTCTAATTTTATATCTGGAGCAATTGATTATTAAATTATGGAAGGAATCTGCATTAGTTTACTTTTCTTAAAACTTCAGTCTTCAATAAAAGTGATAAAAAGATTGAAATCTATTTAATACTGTAAAAATACAGTATCAAAACAGCACTTCTGCCTTGTTAAACAAGAGGGAAAAGTTATTTTAGGATGGTCATACTACAGACCAGTGTGTATGCTCACATAAAGAGAATAAGTAAGACTGGCTGTTTAGTATAAATAAATGAACACATTCTTAACAATTTGTTACAAGACCTGAAGAGAACATCTTTAAATTCTTCTGTTGCACAAGTTCAGCTCACAAAATATCAAAAGTACTTGCAAAAAAAAAAAAAAACAAACCAAGAATTAATGTCTTGCAGTCAATGTAGGAAAAGCTTTTATCCAATACTGATTATCTCCTGTGGTTTTTATTTGGTAGCCAAGAAAAAGCAATGTTCCCAAAGCATTCTACTTTTCCTTTAAAACTATGCTATAAAATGCTGAATGATTAATGATTTTTCCTTTACAAGTTCCCATTGTAAAGCTGTTCTGAAGTAGATTACTATTAATTTTGCAATCAAAATCATGCTACACCCTATGACTCACTATAAGAATGCCAAGGAAAAAAAGCCCTAGCCTTCTAAAATGCCAAAAATGGGGTGGAGGGTGAGAAAAGGCACAATAAAAAGCATTTTTTGTGCTACAGAGTAAAACATCCTAACCCCAGATATATTAGGGCTATTATTCTGGAAACTAGAAGTTATTCTATTAATCTGAAAACTAGAATTATACAGTATTTTATAGCATTTCCATTTTTGATTGCAAAACTGAGTCTCTCACTTCTAAATTCCCAAGAAATAGTTAACACCTGCACTGTGGAGATACAGAGTCAACCCAGCAAAACAGTTCACACCTTGAAGGCCTGGGCAATCTTTGGTTAACAAAACACAGTTACACATTGGGTTTGCA